GGGGGGGGGGGTGGCCTCCCCGGAGCTGTCACTGTAGCTAGCCACCTTGGGTTGGCTAATGTCAACTTCATCCTGCTTAAGTACACTTTGAACCTGTTGCTACTTCAGACTTTTTCCATCCAATTTGGATAATGACCAGAAACCAACCAATTTGGAATTAGCAGATTCACATTTTATCCCTAAAACACACACACACACACACTTATAAGTGAATAGAAAAAATCTTATACCCTGTTGATGTTGTTTTGGCATATTCCACTGAATTCCTCCCGACTGTTGAGAACGAGGAGGCCCTCCACTTTGTTGCCTCATTTGATGTTGCTGAATGTGATTATATTGTTGAGATTGTGAAGCGAGTGATTTGATTTGGTCCCCACCTGGATTAAGAATAAACATGATGAAAGGAATTTTAAAAAGCCTTTGCAAAATATTCTTTTAGATCAAAAGAAAATAATACCTCCTGAATTTTTTGCCTCATTGCGAATTCCAATATTCATATTTGTGGCTTCTGATTCTTTCTCAGCAGTCATTTTCCGAAGAACAGATGTTGGAGTGAAGGCAAGTGGAGTAGGAGATGACAAATGTTTAGCTGGCGAAGAGGAATCCACTTTTACTCCACCTCCAGTACCTGCTCCACCTCCAGGCATACTAGGTGACAGAGACCTGACACACACATGAAAAACAAATTAGACCTATAGACATGTATAATTCATGCAAAAGCTTGTGATGGTAAGGTAGTATCTTCATACTATCAATCACAATCAAGACTGCCAATTCACATTTTACCCCTAACACACACACACACACACACACACACACACATACACATACAAGAGAATAGAAAAAACTTATACCCTGTTGATGTTGTTTTGGCATATTCCACTGAATTCCTCCCGACTGTTGAGAAGGATAATGAACGATATTAAACATGAAATAGTTTTTCAACATCGAATTTTTAATAAAAAGTTTGAATTAGCATGGAAAAACTCTTCTGAAAAACTTTCACTGGGTTTTAACTTTCCTCTATATACAAGTGTAAATGGAGTACTATACCTAGTTCAGAGAAAGTTATGTAATGCTGCGGAAAACAAATTACGAGATTTCAACAGAAATAAGTTTTTGAGTTCCCTGATATTCGAAATGTGCAAACGTCATCTATGAAGAACAATAGCACCTAAACAATATGTAGAATTTTTCCAAACTGAATGAATACGACAATTTGGCCTCACTGAAGCTCTGAATTTGAAAAAACATTCATTAATTTTTGGGAGTACATGAAGCCCTTGGGACATCTTCAAAATTTTATACACGAGTAGTGATTTTATACATGAAATACATGATATTTTGTAGTGCTCTAGTCTATGGTTTCGTTTTCTATAATTACATTATATACACATGTAATATGAAGTGTACTTTATTGTACTTTGAGCAATGGTGGCATAATTAAGACGTCATTTGATTTACCAGTTCTTTATGTACTCCATTTGGACAATGGACTGTTAAATTGAATATATATAAATAAAAATGGCTCCAATTTATTTCTTTAAATTTCTTGTAGGAATACAGTGAAATTCTCTCAGATGGTTTAGGTCAGATTTTCACTGTCAAATCTGTTTTCAAAAACTGCAAAAGTTAATTTTTTTCGAGTGTTCTTAAAACTACAAAATTGAAGATAGACATTTTTCTGACAAGAAAATCTTTTTTCCCCATAATTAGTCCATAATAGTCCATAATTTCCATACTTCCCTTTGAACTATTTACAAATTATATATCAAATGCTCCATTCACATTTACAAGCAACTATTGTTCATCTATTCATGTTAAAAATTGAGTATTTGATTTGTGACCGGCACAAACCTACTACCTTAAAAATTAGTATTCAATACCCTCCAATATTATCTTATTTAGAAACCATTAAATCATTCTCTGATTTATTAAACTTCTGAAACCAACACTCAGATTTAAACAGTGACAAGTCAAGGTTGCACAGTGGCAGGAGAGGGAGGACACTCCCCCAATTATGAGCTCCAATACCCAAAAGTCTTAAAGCTTCTGGTTGGACATTTGTGTCCTCCCTCTGTTCAGCTTGTGGTATTTAAGTGCCACTGTCAAATCTGATACTTTTCTGAATCTTCTACTCTACAATATAAGGGATATGATTTTGGATTACGATTGCAGTAATATGATTTCTGCATTGCCGCCCCGCCCCCCACACACAAACAAACAAACGAACAAACAAAATTTAAAAATGTATATCAAAAATTTACAAAAACATTTGCCACATAGTAATGTAATGCTAAAGTACTAACTGTTGCATTTCTTGTCTTTTTCTATAATTCTCCCGCTGCTCTTCCAACTTCTTTTTTATGAGTGCTGACTGCATGATATTTTGAGTGTGTGCAATGAGTTCTCGTGGAGATGGCACCCGAGGCAAAACTGAAAGAGAAGTTTTGGTGAAACATCATATAAAAACAAGACCTGGATAACATTTTGAAAATATGGATTCCATCTTGATTTCACATCCAAATGCATATATGAAACAAAATATGTGCAAGGCATATAATCTATCTACATTAATATCAACAAGGCTACAAAAGCCTTAATGTGCATTCTATGAACTGATATTCAAAGTAAGAGTTCAAAATACACCAATTCCACAGTTTTCTAATTCCCAAAATTCAAACTCTCATTGAAACCATTTTCTGACCACATATGAACACATTTTTTTAAACTGCTATTAATGTAAGTACTAATAAAGAAAATAATAGTAGTAGTAGTAACAAAACTTCCTAATATACATGCTTGCAAGAAGGGAAATGATATTTATAAAATAATTTGAGATTTTTGCAACAAGATAATCATTGATAAAGAAACTAAAATTGACCTCTAGAGGATATATCTATGCAAGAGGATTGATCTTTACCTCTTTAGAATAAATCTACGGAACCTGTCACACTGCTAGTTATGAAAATAGTTGTACAAAACCAGACAAGGAATGTTTTGTCTGCACACTCCTGGGGAAAATGTCTAAAAGAAATTTTAATTTTAAGTTAAAAAATGGAGACTATTTTATATTACAAACCTACGTAATTTGAAGGGACCTGGGAACAACTGTGTACGTGACTGAAAAACGAATTTTGGGAATACTAACGTTTGGGTTTTACTGTATGTCAATCTTATTAACTACAAATATTTAACTAGTTGTTTATAATTTCACTTCTATGTTCAGCGTCACTTGGGAAACCGAGACCAATGAAATCAAACTTTAATATGTGTCTAACCACTCTTGTAATGGAGTAGAATAAGTAAGTCCATTTTCACAAACTCCAATAAGATTATCCTTTTTTTTTTGCTGGTCAAACTCTGGCAAAAAATCTACTATCATTGTAAAAAAAAAAATTTTTGTAAGACTTTAGAAATGTTTAAAGTACTGGTATCCACTGCACTAAAATGGTAAAAAATAAAAGACCCAAATAAATTGGCTATAAATACTCAAACAAATTGCAAAAGTAACCGAGCCTTTCATGCTGTTTAAATATCTGAGAATTTGACAGATATCACATTAAATTATAATAAAGCATCAAATTAACTCAAGTTCGCAGGCAAAAGGGGATGATAAGAACATCAATCCCTCACCTGGATGTTGCACAGTTAATGTATTTGGATTTGTAGTCAAATTTGGAGAAATTACAGGAGGCGGCTGACAATATGCTGGAATAATAGTAGTGAAGAATTAACTTGTTGCACTACTACACAGTACTATTTAATGCACATTTAGTCATGAAATTTAGTAATTTAACTAATATAACCACCAATGTTCTTTCGAAGTTTACTGATAGTACACAACCTCAATACCAACCACTATTAAGAGGAGATGGGATGCGCAGCTGCTGTTGCTGGTGCTGTTGCTGCTGCTGCTGCAGCATAATCTGGTGGAGAAGATCAGGCTGTGGAGGATGTGGATGTGGAGAAACCGTACGCGGAGATGTACCTGTAAAGCATTCCAAGAACTTATGAATATACAAACACATACTGTCGTGCAATTCTTTCAGAGCATGTAGAAAAATACGCCCATTTAACTTATCTGCCAGACACATTGTTAAATTGATAATAAACTTTTGCTGCACAACAATTTCCATATCACTTCAAAATATTTCCAATTATTTATTAGTTTAATTGAAATTTTTAACTATGTTCACTAACAGATGCTCTCGATGTTCAAATCTAAGAGTACACAGTATTGTACTGAAAGATTTATAACTACACTGTAATTCATTAGCTACATTAAGATTTGTAATTATTTCTGAACCACTTGATAAGACTATTCTAAATATTATATTATTATTAATTATACACACACACACACACACACACACCCATAAACACACACTAAACAACTTTATTGTTCACTAATATTTGATTTTTATCGTTTAAAAATAATACAATTTCAGAAATTTCTAAGAATAGTTCAAGAAGAAAATCATGACTGCCTAAATAGATATTCATAGCCTTCCATCAAATGCAACAAAATTACATTTTTGACAATTTATTCTAACAATTGCCACAATTTCAAAACAAGAATCAATAGATTATCAGGCAAGTTTTATTGATGAAATCCAAATGAATAGAAGTGTGAAAGTAAAACTGCAAACAAGCTTTTTTCTTTTAATCAACTGACCTTGCTGCATTTGCATTTTCAAGATGCTAACAAGAACTTCACGATGTCTGTGCTGCATTGCTGGGTTCTGCAATTGCTGCACAAGATGCTGAGGGGTAATTTCTCCATACCTTAGTCCTGAAAGCAATTACGTAACAAATAAACATACATAAATAAATCTGTGGAATAGAAATTTTAGATCTAAAATTCTCAAACCTTGCAAGATGGCTTTTGCTTCAGGTCTCTGTAATAACTCCCTGCTAGGTTGAGCATTAGCCACCATCACTTGAAGTTCTGGTGGTAAGGGAGAAAGAGATGGAGGAGGTGGTATGGAAAATTGTGGGCCCATTGGGCCCAGGCGAGTTCCCTGCATTGAATGCTGACCAGCAGCAAACAATTTCGACAACAATTCTTGTTGATGCTGTTGCTGTTGCTGTTGGTGGTGATTGTGATGGTGGTGGTGGTGATGTTGCTGTTGCCTTTGCTGTTGCTGCTTTTGTTGCTGCTGTTGCTGTTGTTGCTGTTGTTGCTGCTGCTGCTGCTGCTGTTGCTGCTGTTGTTAATAATAAAATGGTTTATACACGATTTCATGGTATAGAAATAATTAAGTTTTGAAGTCTTAGCCAAAAATCTAATAAATACGATAAACATACTTGGACTTGCAACAATTTTAAAACCAAATCTTGAGGAATTTGCATCTGCTGGGATTGGGTCTGGGCAAGACCGGGAGGAACAGCATTATTCACAACATTTTGTTGACCAAGAGCACCAAAACCACTCAAAGGATTAACAGAGGATATGCCCACATCAGCAGGTCTCACTGCGGTTACAGGTCTTGCCATAGATTGTAGGTTTGCTTCTTGCTGAGATTTACTCAACATCTAAGACAAAAAAACAACTTCCAAGTTACTCCTCACGCAAAAAACAAACTCTACTGTTTTAATATTTATGGATGGGTCTAGTACCTGCAAGAAGTTCATTGGTTGTGGTTTGCTGGGAATGGGACCATTTGCAACAGTAGCAGGTATAGCTTTTCCATCACTAACTTGGGCAAGCTGAATAAACAAATTTAAATATTATTTTCCATAGCTATTAGAGACAATATCAAATGAATGTAACAGAACTAACCAATTTATTAAAAGCTGAAAGATCTTCATCACTTTTTTTGTTGGATGTTTTGTTTGAAGATATGCCTTGCCTCATTTTTGCCTCCAATTCTTCCACACTGTGTAATTTGCCTGTTGCTTCTGAAAATGCAGCCTCTTATGATTACATTGATGAAAAAATTTTAATTACATTAAAACATTCAAGAGGGATTTGCAAACCTACCCAAATCTCTAATACTATGTCCCTTAATTACAGGTAGGCCATTATCACCTTGACCACCTCGTTGCAACAAATCTAGTAGATGAATAGGTTTTCCAACATTGCTACTTCTCATGCTATCGGCTACTGTTTCTGAGACTGTCTCAGAACCACCACCAAGCCCACTACTACGACCACCACCACCACCAGAAGAGCTAACAGTGGCAGTGTTGGCAGCTGGTGAAATGGGAGCAAAATATATATTCGACTCACTCTGAGGAATTACTATATCTGTAAGAGGTAAAAGGGAATTAAAAACTCTACAGGCAAACAAACAAAAGAAAAAAGAATCCCTTAAAATAATTCAAACAAACCTCCTAGCATATTTGATAGCAATTCTTCATGCACAGATGATCTTCGACTATCTGTCAGTTTATTGACCGGGCTTTCTCGTCTAAACCACTGGCTGAATCTTGAACCAGCAGGTCCTTCTGCTGTGGCACCATTCTAAACAACACAAGCGAGAGTTAATATTCTCTTTTACTATAGTGCTCTGTATTTGCACAATAATACAACTTCATACTGTAAGCAAGCCTGGAATTGCATCCCCTTTCAGAAAATCATCCAGATTAAAATCAGATTGATCCTTTCGGTCTTCTTTCTTTTCTTGCCATGCAAGACTACTTTCCGTGGTTGTGTTAGGAGACTTTGTTGACAGTGAATCTTTAAAAGATTTCCCATCTTCCACAGTAATAGGGGATGGAAGTGTTGCTAAAGGAACAGCAACCGTTCCTAATGTAGGAGTGCTTCTTCCTCCTGGCCCACTTTGAGTAGACCCAGAAGTATTACTGCTTATAGCAGATGATGAAATCGAGGATGTATCTGCAGTCTTTTTATTTCCAGACCCAGATCTATTATCTAAAATATTGGACCAATTAATTTTGTTTTTCCTGCACAACTTACTGCTAAAAAGACGTAGTAAAAGAAAACAAATCTGCATTCACACACTCACTCTTTGATCTTCCTGATTGTTTTCTGCTTTCCCGAGTTCCTCCTTGTTCTTCTGGAATATCCTCAAACCCCCTCAACTCAATTGTATCATGTTGAGAAGTTGGACCACCTAATTTCAATGCAAAAATGATATGATCATGAGAACAATGACAATGATGTTTCTGCATAAATTACTTTCCAATAGTGAAATCTTCCATGCATTAAATTGAATAATTTACCTGAAAACCATTCTGGTTCTTCTTCATGGCTATCACTATGGGCACGTCTGCGATCATTGTAATTTGAACGATCTTCACGATTATTTCGATGACGATCCTTTGTCCTATCCCTCTCTCTTTCCCTTTCAAATTCTCTACCAAAGGATCGCCTAAAACAAATTAAATGGTATCAGAAAGTATTCTGCAAAATATATTTAATAATATAACAAATTTTACTGACCTCTCTTCTCGCTCTCTATTTGCAGGTGGTCTGAAAATAAAATCTGTGGATGGATCAGATTCCCTAAAGTCCCACATATCACGAGGTGGAATACGTCCGCTTCCAATTCTCCTAGCCGGCATATCTCTGTGCACCAAATCCCTGTGATAAACATTAACAGCACATCATACAGATTGTGTAAACAAACCAACGTGATTGGGAATATTAAAAGAACAAAACTTCATTTAATGCAAACCTTTCATTTTTGCCTAATGGACTTTCTGGCCTCTTTCCTACTTGCTGAGTAACGCAACAACCTGAATTAAAACTACGACGTTGAGGACTCAACACTATGCCTTCTTGTTCCTTTCGTAATCTCTCTCTTGGATCACCAGAGCGACGCTATAAAGGTTAAAAATGAAATTAAACTTTTGTTAATCACTTTTTCATATTAAAAAATATTGAAATGATATAACAATAATTAATACCAGCACTTTTCTAAATATATTGCTTACAGCTAAACAAAAATAAATTCAATTCCCCAATTATAGTATTTTCAATCAAAATTCAAAATCTGATAGAAATGGGTGAATACTACAAGGAGTAGGATAAACAGACTCTAGAAAGAAAACGGCAAAAGAGATCAAAATACACTCCAAAGAACGAGCTCACAATTTAGCTACTTTTCATAAGTTTACCTTATGAGACTCTGAAGATGCATCCCCTCTACCACCTCTCTCATCATCAGGGGGAGTCTCAGATCTTTTGCAATCCAGATGCCATCGTTCAGGGTCCCAAACACCTCGAGAACTGAAAAGGCACTTTTATTTTAGAATATGCAAAATTTGTAAAACAATACATAAATTTTCACGTAATGTAGTAATACCTACTCGTTAAAAGCTGGATCCAAACACCCAGGTCGGATTTTAGATAAAGGTCGAGATTTTATAACCATTAGTTCCTCCTGAAATAAAAAAAAAATTTTACAAAATGAGAAGTGAATGTTGAGATTTCACAGTCTCAACAATTTTCAAAATATACTCACCCTAGTATATTGATATATAACTGCTTTTTTTTCTGGAATTTTGATTTGGTGAATGGGAGATTCATTCTCCACTAAAGACATGTTAGTCACTTCATCACCTGAAAGGAAATTTTATGTTTATTGTTACACAATGAATATCACAGTGCATAATTGCAAATACAATTCTTGAAACAACTCCATAACATTCCTCCATGAACACTTTTTAATGTTAAATAGTACCCAAGAAATATTTCATTATGTCAAAAAAACAGTAATCCAAAAACAACAAAGTGAATAACCTAATGAAGTAAAAACTACAATATTTAAATTACAAACAGAAAGCTCATCCTGACAACAGAACATCATGTCTAGCATGTCTGTTTGAGGTATGAGTAACTGATCCCTCATCAAATAATACAAATAAATTTTCAGAAGCATATTCATAAAAAAGTTTACTTTTCAAGGAGATTTACATGGTAGAAAATTACACATTATGTCAAAAAGTTTAAGAAATAACTTAAGATGAAAAACCACCGCACACATTTCATTTAATCACTGAAATATTCCAATTTATGTGGATTTACATTCACCAAACTTCTCAGCCAGTGCACAAGATTAGTATTGGATATAATTCCATCATAACATGCTGCCTGCAGTCTGACATTACACACAGTTTTTCCAGTTCATGCTTTTCCAATATTTCATTCAATACAATTTTACTTATAACCAAATCAAGTTTAATAAGAGTAGTAAAAATAAATTAAATTAATTTCATAGCTGAGAATGGTCAGTAGTTTGAACCACACAATATTGTAAGGAACATAAAACATAGTACAGTAACAAAATTAAATATTTACAGGAATAATTGTCAATTACAATGACAGATCAAGCTGGCTATAATAATTTGCCACTACCAAGTCTTCAACTGGAGTCGAAAGGTTCAAGTTCCAACAGTGAAGGATTTGCCTAGATATGTAGCTAGCGCTCATGTTCAATAACATTGAACCAAATTCAAGAAGCCAGCGACTCCGAGTTTTCCATGGTTTCATGCCCTACACTAATAAACATGCTGAAGGAGTAGCTGAGAACTCAGCTTGTTCTGGTTGGGACAGAGCCTCACCATCTGATACCTACCACCCACAAAAATGAGTGTTAATAAAGAAGTTGTTACGCGTGTTTTTTTTTCTTTTTTTTTTTTTTCTTTTTTCTTTCTTTCTTTCTTTTTTTTTTTTACACCAACTACCATTTTAAATTCTCTTAGTTGTGCACTTAGTGTCCACAGAGTAACACTTTCAAACATTTTGCATAAAATAAAAATTTGCCAAGATGAACAAGTTTAGGAAGAATGCTCTTCGTCATTTTCAAGAGACTTTGATATGAAGATACCATATTTCCCCTTATGTTTAGCTTTTCTCAAAATAGAAATCCCAGCTTCAAGGCTAGTATAAAATAAGCATTGTAAGTAGTGTAAACTCTTTTGCCCCTCATTACCAAAGGGTTGGTTAATAAAGCATTGAATGCTTTCACGGCTGAAGTCAATATTCTTCATGTCTTCCGGGTTGATGGGCCGTGTTCCAATTTGCTTTGTATTGCCAAACGTTCACCCACGAGTGCAGTGGGCATCCTCAGTGGCGAGGTCTCGGGTGAAGTGTCCGAGGCGGTGGCTGTTCAAAGCCAACTGGACCACAGTCCATCAGCCCGGCAGACATGAATAATAAATGGTTGGCTGGCCATCAAAATCCAAACATGAACTCCCTTGACATTGTCCTAATTTTCTTGATCAAATTTCTCACTAGATCATTCTTCACAATTATACAATTTGTTTACAGAAAGTATCTAGATTAAATAGTTTTATTTTTTGGACTACTCAAAGAATACAAATATTTGGAAAGGTTCAGGTAGAGGAACATTGTATGTAATCTGCTTACACATGAAACTGTGTCAGCAACTCCAATTTTCAAAGAAAATTTATATTAGTCATCATATAATCAAAGAAATATTTTAACAAAATTGTAAAAGGTTCATATTAATTTTCATTATATTTGCTAAATATTTCATTACAATTATAGGGCTCTTTACTTCAGGGCCACTTAAGATATTAATACAGTCATGGGTACAGGGAAGGCTATTCACACTGACAGACTTTAGTTTCATATCTGCTCTTCTGATCAACTAAAGGTTAACCTAAAAGTTGATTAATTAAATTTGAAAGTTAAAGTAGAAATATCCTGACAAGAACCAAAGATCTTTGGCAATTCTACGACTTTTCAAATCAACATCAACTTTCTACAAAAGTTTAATTATGGATGTGCTTTACAATGTGGTACTGGAAATATTTAATACTTTTCCATAATTTTTCATATAAGTCAGTTGCCATATGTAAAAGAGCACACTGACAACCATACCAGTAATTGTTCACACATACACATGTGTTTCAGAATCAACATGTTATGTAAAAGGCAAAACTGAATATGGTTTGGATAGGGCTGTCAGAACATCTTAGATGCATTGAACAGAGCACTACAATGGGACCATTATCCATTTTTGGAATTAAAATTGAAGTTTCATAAATAATATTTTAATATCAATTTCATAAATTATTGTTGAATTATTAAAAATATTAATAGGAAAATGTAGTTTACATAATCTAAGTTTAACAAAAAGAAAATAAACATGAATAAAAATTTGAAAACTAATTATAAAAATAATTTACTGAGCAGTAATTGGAATATTCTTATTAAAAAATAATTTAAAATAAATGAGTAGCTCGTGGCTCAGAGCGAAGTCACTCTCCTTTCACCAAGGAGGTCCGTGTTTAAATAAGAATACGTAAAACTTGTTCTAACAAAACACCTGCTTCATAAGGGCTAGTCCAAATCCTGTGAAGCATCGTATCAAGTCCTTCTGAATTCTGACCACTGGGAAGTGATGCAGGAGCACATAAGAGGATATGCTACATGGCGATCCTCTAGACAACTGACTGCGATGAGACTGAACACAACAAATGAAATGAATGTTCAACAGAGGATTACTCCATTGTGAAGGCTCTCAACACTCGTTTATGGGCTGGGAGACTCCTTGTGTTAAAATAGATGCAATAAATTTAAAAAAAATTAAAAATCAAGTTATAAAAAAGCAGAACCCTGGGACATCTAGCAAACTACTCATTATGCCCAAATCTCACGACTGCATTGGGACTGGAATTGCAGATCCTAAGAGTCATCAAGTAGTCACTTTTTGATTATTCTGAAGTTAACACATACACCCATACATTCATTATTGTAAAATATAAATATATATATAATGAATATAATGTTACAATAATAAAAAAAATTAGATTGGTGCACGTTTTTGCTTCGAATATAAATCGTTTTAAAGTAGCAATCCCATTGAATCAATTAAATAGAAACACGCGTCTGATGGGCTCCAGGAGGGCATTTCAAGTGCTCTGAAAGGTTATTACTTAATTTTTAACTTTAATATAAACATTTACGGACTTTTTACATATAGATTTCTATAAGAATACGCCGTTTATTGAAAGGGCCTATATTTTAGTATTATGTGGTCAAATTCTTCCGCGGAATACCTTTTAATTTTTGCACCAGACAACGAAAATGAGTACAAACCCTCGAAATCGTTGAGGAATCATGACCGTCGATTTGCAGCACGATTGCATCTGCTGTCGATTTGCGAAACGATAGAGTTAAAGTCATTCCACATCTATGCATACATGTACATGGCATCAAACCGCAAAGCCACAAGAAAATCTATAGTATAGTCCAAACAGCGGGGTTTTCAACGAAAAAACTCTACTATTCGACAAAAAGTTGTCTAGTTGGAAATTTTGAAGAATTAACTGCAAAACGAAACTTTTTATGGGTAAATACGTATCACTCAAACAGTTAATCAACTTCCTCTTACTGGCTCAACAGGACCACCACTAGACATCTTAAAGGGCCAAAACATGTGCTCCAGCCAGCACACACAATTTAATATTTTCATAATACGAATATGGCAGCTTCAAATAACTTTGTTAAATAAATCGAAAGTAATTTAAGTGATTGGCGAAATCTTTTAATTCGTATTTAACATAACACTACTGGCACATAACTTATTACCGTTTTTAGCCAGCAAAGTTCGCAAAACATCAAGGCTAAGACAAATCCCTTTTCGTACGGATAGAAGTCATATTTAAACATGAAAAATATTTATTATTAGTTCGTCTCAGCAGATGAGACGCGATGGTTGTCCAGGGATCTCATCAAGACAACCTATCATAGCAAAACTATTGTTAATGCTTTCAAATCTCAAAAAATAACAATTAAAGTTTCAATAAATTTAATTTCAAAATCCCAACTTTTCTGAATACTAGATCTCAAAGCGTTCATTCCAAGGATAAACTTTCGCACGTTTCATGAAATTTTAACAACCTACCGTGACTGTTGAAACGATAATTATCTACTGCTATCAATGCCATGCCGCGAATATAATTCTAAGCCGCAAATCAAAAACCAAACAACTACTAAAAGTTCAGTCTTGCAAAAACCAATAAGTCCTGATATTAATCGATAGAAGTTTTTATTCTATATAAAGGGTATTTTAAGGAATAAAATCAGAAAAACTATGCCCTTGACAATAAACCTTCCCAGACAAGTTAATAAAGTAATTGGGTTAAATTTCCAGTTCTCCAAATATTTCAGTCCGTTTACTGCTCTTCTCCACTTCCCTAAAAGGCAAAAACAAGATGACTTAAGATCTAACTCAATAGCGCATCGCCTCTAAACCATGTGCATGGGCATGTGCATCCAAGTACGGATATGGATACACTGATACTTCGCTAAAATGTGTTCCGAGACAGGGTTTACTTTAGAAAAATCTCAACTTTAAAACCAAGAACATTTGTGTATACTTCTACGTCTCGTTCTACGTCTACGTAAGGAAGTAACTTTATTACGAAGCATTTTCCTAGGGTGCGCTTGGGCATTGACATTACAGGCCTTTTTTGTTATGTTCAACTTAACCAAATTTACAGTACTTTTTCTTTTACTATCCGTTCTACCCCCCCCTTCCCATGATTCATCTTTATTATAATAATCAATGATCAGCAGTCGAACATAAGGTTGCATGGGATGAGACATTAGAACATCTTTCTCTAATTTCTTTTACTGGCACGCCAAGTTTGCGTAGTCTCCTCCGGTTATAGTGAATTTGGGTAATCGTTTGGTTTATTGTATCCGAAGTTCACTACGACCAAAAATTCTCAACTGTAATAGTTTATAAACAAACATTTTATTATTTTAGAGGTAAAAAACATCCTATCACCGCGAATTCAAAATTTCAATACATTCATTCTTTCTTCTCATTCTCTACATTGGCCGCACTCGTAAATTCGCCAACACCTTTCAATGCCACTTGCACTGCCGGGACACATTTTGACCTCTCCGTCCTTGCTTCTGTTCTAGAAAAATGACCGCATTCATGCCCGCAAATGCCCTAGCTAAATCTGATTTCTATACTTTTTAACTTGGGTCCTCGGCGAAGCCTTTAGGCTGGACAAAAACTGTCATTGTTAGGTGAAGCAATTCCCTCAGTGGCAAGGTTTCCCAAATCCCTTTCAGTTCACCTTCAATGTTACAAAACTCACGCGGTGCTCAACCTGCAACTCAACCCTTCCTGTTATATCAATTCATAGAATAAACATTCTCCCTAGGAAGTTCACTACAATCTTGTGTAATTACCTGTCGTATGCTGATCGAGACCAGCGACTTCGGTTCACTATATCCGAATCACCTACAGCCAGAGCATTTCTAACTAGTAAGGAAATATTTCATTTTTACGAAACTTTTCTCGCATGTGGGTTGTCAGAAATTTCATCGAGAATATGCAATAAATAGAAATAATTTAAAAGTTGCTACAAGAAAGAAGTTTCTACGTGTAAGTTTTCAAATCCAGTCAATGCCACTTCGCTTCTCTGCGACCATGAAATACAAAACCAACCTTCAAATTGGTACGCATGTTTGCTAGCATAAATCGACTGGCAAGTTGACAACCACTTTCGTCAAAATTACTCAATTTCGTTCAAAATGTCAGAATGTTGACCATTGCAATTACACGTTTATTTAAAACAATTCATGGACTCTTCAAAGCGAAAGAAATAGAATATCTTGTGTGCACACCATACTTGCTCAGAACTGACGAGATTCTGCAGACGAAATTTAAAATAAAGTTAACTTTAAAAACAACGTCTCTACCATAAACTAAGTTTTGGTTGAAAAATTACTAATCAACCACGCAACTTTGAGCTCAAGAATAACAAATGCACGATGACCACAATCCTTTCGTACTGGTAGTTTGACTATTAGCGAGTTTCGTACTCAACATTTGCTAGAAGCGATCGCAGCGAGACGGCGGCATGAGGTACAGTGACGCCTTCGGGAGAGCGTCGGGTAAGGTCGTCAGATTTTACGGCACCGACGCCAAAAAGACTCCTACGTAATTGGCAGCAAACCCAACAGTTCCGGTTAAACGATTATCTCACGCGTGAGCCAAAAAGTACTCTGAACGGAAGCCTCGTACTCACGGAAAGTGACGCGCTTGCGGCGCCTGCGCTGGCGCCTGAAGCGGCGCACGGACCCCGGGGTGCCCCGCAGCTCAGCCGCGTCTTCCAAGGGAATCGTCGCTGCGACGACACTGGGCCGACGGCGACCGCTTCGCCGAAAGCGCACGGGACCCGCCCCGCCGCCAACGCCACCGCTGCCGCGGGACCCCGGCACTGGCCTGGGGGTCGGCGGATACCGCATCACGCTTTGAACTTGAACTTGCACTTGCATCTGCATTTGCACCTCCATTCTCCTCCCCTTCGAGGCCCAGGGGCACGGCAGGGAAAAGCGCGGAAGAAACTGTCGCCGCTTCTCAATCTTCAAGCGGTTTAACTTCCGAAATGACAGCAAATTATTACACTATTGACATCAAGCGCTTGGTATCACAAATCAAATTCGCGTCGAAGTTAGGAAATTCCTTTTTATGCAAAACGAAAGTTTTAAATGAATTTCAGTTTAATGTCAAAAATAAAAGTAGCACTGGCCTCGAAAATCCTTTCCTGAGCACCTAATCAGTATCTAAAAGGTCTCTCGGTGAAACCTAATATAAGCTAGCTTGCCGCAGATTCTTCCCAAGTCCTAAGTGGGATTCACTATTTATAAAAACACTTAAATATCTTAACACTTTCTGATGATATAACTTGAAAAACAAAAACAAAAAAAAACAAAAACACTGCTAAAACAATTCTTCACAACCGTACAAAACGATCACCCAATTCTGAAAGTAACAAGACTCGACTGGAGTCACTGTAATACTGGCACCCTTGCCTTCCTCGCACGACGTAAAACTCCAGAACACAGGAAATCTGCGAAGCGCCACGATTGGTTTTCGCCAGTCGAGCGGCGGAGAATGAACGCTATTGGAAGATCCCCGTTCTAAACTCGCAACAAGCTTCAAAAATGGGGGAGTTACAGATGTAAGATTTTCCGATCCAGTTTCACGAGACAATTATTTCTTTTATTTCGTCATTCATAAATTTCCTTCCAAAAGGCGGAGTACGAAATTACATTAAATTCTACCAATTGGCATAAAACTACAGTGTTGATTTTCAGAGCAACTTGATCGTTTGAATGCGTTCACGTTTCCATTAGCATGGATATTCTCCTGCCAAAAAAATATTTTGGCCCAAACCTTCAAAATCATCAAAAATGTTAGAACGTATTAAACAAAGAAAACTGAAGTATACGAGCAACCTCACGTTTAAAACCCTTTTCTATACCCATGCTCGCTTATCACGTCCCCTATCGGAACCAAACCTACTACTCCCATGAATCAAGTGAAAGAAAAATCTCCAATTAAACATTTGTTCTCTGAAGTGAAGCAATCGCGTAATTCAAGTTATTGGCTCGAATCAGCAAAAATAAATGTCTCTCTCGATTACTAGACCTGCTCGATTCACAAGGGCAAATATTACAATAACAATAATAAATAATAATAATCAGCTTGTGAATAATAAACGAGTAAATACATCAAACTTACAAATCTAAGACTCTTATAATGGATCAAACAGTGAAATTGGAAAACTGAAGTTCCCCTTCAATAAGGGATATTCACTAATCAAAAAGAGCTTAGTTAACATACGGGATAAGGGAAGAAAATAAACTCACATCTCTCATGAGAATTCATTAACTTCTTGTTTATTTCCTTATACATTTTTGTCAAAGAAAAAAATAATAATTCAAAGAGGTGAAATTCTCAATTTTAAATTATTTGTTGGAGAATGAGGGAGAGGAAGACTTTTTAGTCATCAGATCTTTTTTTTTTTGGTCAATTTTAAACACTTTCCACAATAAAAAGGTGACAAATAAAATCTCAATTATTCCTTTATACTCATTAATCATTATGAACATTAAAATTTTAAATTCATTGATATACCTCTATGGTGTCAGAATGTAAGAGAGTATTATTATGATTGAGAAAGAATTACTAAAGGTATAAAAAACCACTTCAATTCACGATTAAAATTTCTACCAATGCCAAAATTTGCCTTAGGAACATTCATCATCCTATGCCAGTGAAGAATAGACAGTCAGTACCAAACGTGCCAAGTTTAATATAAATTGAATACTCTCTATACAAAGATAATATAAATATTATTTGAAAATTAAAAGTCGCTCTCTGTAGGTTTCAAAATAGTAAGATTATAAAAGGAAAACAATCTTATACATATCATTTTACAAAGTCTATAGTACTGATTTTGAAAGTATGCATAAATGCTTGAAAACGTAAAAGGTGTCAATGGTTTTATTAGATACCCCGGAACTCAAAAAAAATCTAAAACCATGGAAGTTTTAATTTTAGCTGAAAAATGTATATATTTGATTATGTTCTTCCCTCTTCTCCAATACTTATGTTCCGAATAAATTCTCATACTCAGTATGGCACTGCTTACAACACAACAGATGCCGTGCTATGAGGGAAAAAGAAGCTTCAGTTTTCACATGTGCTGTCTCAAAACAGACATTTTTTGCTGCTCCAGGACTCCAATTTTCACAGTCTAACCAGCAGCATTTTTCTTGCTGCACGCCCCTATTTAAGTTGTATAATTCTTCTACATAATTCATATTCTGTGTTTATTTTAATTTTCTTTCAGATGTAAAGAATGCATTTTAAAATAAATTATGATTATCTCCTCTTTGAAACACTTCACTTCGCAAAATACATGTAGAGAAACAATCGAACATTAATTAATGAAACACCCAGCATAGTTTTTCTGGACTTATTATTTTAAAAACTTTCTCTCTCTCTCTCTCCATATTTTGTACAGGGATCATGCATATTCTTAGTAATTAATATCTGAATCCAAAATTAAAAATCTTCATAATTTCTTTATATTTGTTTGTTCATTGTTTTGTTAAGCAATATCTTTCAGCTGTCACATTTATGGTCAACTGACACAAACACATACACCCCAAAAAAGTATTTAGATCTAATGTATTTGTATTTGCTTCTCTTAATACATATATTGAATAATTATCAACTCAAACTCTAGTTACCTCATTTTCAGAAAGTTTTTCATGAAATTAGAACACACTCTTATTACAGGGGCCAGGTACAAAAATGTGGATAAATCCAATAGTTAAATTTCAGGGGGGGGGCAGAGAGAGAGAGAGAGGGAGAGAGAGGGAGAGAGAGAGGGAGAGAGGGAGAGAAGGAGAGAGAGGAGAGAAAGAGGAGAGAGAGGAGAGAGAGAGAAGGAGAGAGAGGAGAGAGAGAGGAGAGAGAGGAGAGAGAGGAGAGAGAGAGGAGAGAGAGAGAGAGAGAGAGAGAGAGATAACACGTGGTGTAGTCGGAATCTATGTTTCATAGGTCCTTGATACAGAAACATTGATTGACGGCAAAACATCTGTCTGTTCTTCTGTAACCAACGCTAGTGGCTACTGTCAGCCGGTTTTCTCCAGAATTTATTTTCCCAAATCGATCTGGCTGATGTCCTGGCCCCTTGAATTTTAAACCGATATTTTCATTTTGGGAGATACTTCACATGAAGCCCTGGAACATTTTCAAAACATTTGCGCCATAGATTTTGATTAAATTTTGTTGTCAGCTAGTTTAAAAGACGTTTAAAAGAATAGTGCAGGTCTCATGTCGGTTAAAAACACTGATTTTTCGAAAACTGCAAAAATTCAAAATTGATTCGGCCCCTTCCCACAACTACAATTATAAAGATACAATTATTTTTTTTAATGAAATGTAATCATAAAAAACAGAGTTTAAAATAGGGTCATGCTCAATTTTTCAAAATTGTGAGTATTTTATGAGTAAATTGGAAAATAATTTGAAATCGTGAATTCGAATTTCCAGAGTTTTGTTTGAGGCGACGTCAGTATGTAAAAGTAATTTGAGAGTCAAAGGCAGTTAGATTTTGTGAAAATTCCTTCTCATTGTTAAATATAATATTACAATCGAACGTAGAACATCATGTTCGAACATGTATATCTGTATATATTAGTTGCAACGTGAATGTATATTACGTAAAAGTCATATACATGCATATACATATACATGTCACAGTCATATACATACTTGCGTGAAAGACCATGATTTCTTACAACCATTTGCTCCAAGAGCAAAGTAATATTCAGGTGATCAATTCAGAATATTTATTAATTTGAGCGTTTATTTCAAGGTTTAGAGACTATTCTAATTTCTAAGATTTATCTTGATGGATATGCGCGCTGTGTTGCCGACTTTCATTTTACTTTTAATTATAATTTACTATTGATAATGTTGTACAAACGTTTATCTAATGCACGATAATGAAATGAGATTCACTTTCAGCCATTTCGCCACTCTGGTTATGAAATTGCAATCTAACAATAGGAACATCGTGAACCGGCATGAAGATCACAGATTAATCTCTCATTGAGAGCCGATGTTTCTACTTGTAGAAAAGTGTTGCTTCTGAAGGTGATATCAGCAACCAGTAGATTGTGGATGTAAATCGTGAATTAAAATTTTGTATTTCTGGTGTTAATATAATGAAAGATGAAAAGAGCTTGTAGACTGTCATTCGAATCTTCAAAAGAAATATTCATTGGCTTTCAAAACTTCCTTGTCTGCGTAATGTCCGTGAAATTGGTATTAGTATGTGGAACTCATTTCCTTATAATGAATAATGTTTCAGAGGATAACTCATTAATTATTAATTCTTCTGGTAAAATGAGTTTCAACAACATATAATTCGTAAAGAATACAATTATTTAAGCTCTCATTCATAAAAATATAACATAGGAGAGAAAATCTTCCGAGTGTGGAAGCGTGATTTTTAAGGGTCCAGATTTTTTTAAATACTTTTTAGCCAGGAAAAATTTTAATTGCACAAAAAATGAAGTTTAAATGTTTTCAAAATTAGACATTTGTTCACTATTAGACCCTATCTAACGCCTAATCTAAATAACCTAATCTAAGAATCACGACTATTAAATACTATCTAAGGCTAACAAAAAACGGAATTGATCATTCCATTTACGACTTCAGTTACATTTACCCTTGGTCGAATTTAAATTATGTGATCTCGAAACACGAATTTCTAATGGGGTACCACTTCAAAAAAATCTCATTTACTCTTTTCTTACTAGCGGTATCAACAATGCTATATGATAAAATGTGTATCCTATACCAATTGTTGCTTTAACCCATTGTTCTAATGCCGCACTGATAACAGGTGATTATGACTGCAGCCTTTTCTTCCTCGATAATATAAACTAATAATTTTGATTACGGTTAAAATACGCGTCGTGCGTTGTTAATACGTTTATGTGGAACGTGAATACACTGAATTCAATGGCAGAAAGCTGTTTTCGTTTGAGCATTTAAATTTTAAAAATATACATTTATTTTTCGCGCTTTATTTAAGAATTTTTCAAATGGTAGTTGAAGTGTAAGGCAGAACATGTCATATTATAATACGAGTCATTAACTATCGCGAGAAAGCACGTGCTGTTGTAGTACCACTAGTTTATTTCTTCGCTACTGCTTACGGACTATAGAGGAAGTGATGTAAAGTTGCGAGGGAAAAGCGTCAGAAAATTTATTGCCGGGCCCTGGTAGCGAAAATTTGGACACATCCAGCTTATGTTATATATATATATATATATATATATATATATATATATATATATATATATATATATATATATATGTAAAACGTGTAGCTAGAATCCATACTATGTGAGCCCTGATACCAGAAAATCGAATGGCGGAAAACCTTTTGCCTGTCTGCCCGTGAACAACACCAAAAACACCAAATGCACCATTTTCTT